TGTTTCCGGTATAAAGTTGAAAATTCTGCTCTAGATATTTAAATAATAATATTTTGCAACCCCCTAGACGGGCAACCAAAGAAAAACGAGGGTGGTTCCGAGTTGCTTATAGATCCTCCTAGTCGACGTATTTCGAAATTTTTGTGAACATGAAGGTTTAGATGGGATAAAAAAATTTGTTTCCGGCGTAAAGTTGAAAATTCTGTTCTAGATATTTAAATAATAATATTTTGCAACCCCCTAGACAGGCAACCAAAGAAAAACGAGGGTGGTTCCGAGTTGCTTATAGATCCCCCTAGTCGACGTGTTTCGAAATTTTTGTGAACACGAAGGTTTAGATGGGATAAAAAAATGTATTTCCGGTATAAGTTGAAAATTCTGCTGTAGATATTTAAATAATAATATTTTGCAACCCCCTAGACGGGCAACCAAAGAAAAACGAGGGTGATTCTGAGTTGCATATAGGTCCCTCTAGTCGACGTATTTCGAAATTTTTGTGAACACGAAGGTTTAGATGGGGTAAAAAATTTGTTTCCGGTATAAAGTTGAAAATTCTGCTCTAGATATTTAAATAATAATATTTTGCAACCCCCTAGACGGGCAACCAAAGAAAAACGAGGGTGGTTCTGAGTTGCTTATAGGTCCCTCTAGTCGACGTATTTCGAAATTTTTGTGAACACGAAGGTTTAGATGGGGTAAAAAATTTGTTTCCGGTATAAAGTTGAAAATTCTGCTCTAGATATTTAAATAATAATATTTTGCAACCCCCTAGACGGGCAACCAAAGAAAAACGAGGGTGGTTCTGAGTTGCTTATAGGTCCCTCTAGTCGACGTATTTCGAAATTTTTGTGAACACGAAGGTTTAGATGGGGTAAAAAATTTGTTTCCGGTATAAAGTTGAAAATTCTGCTCTAGATATTTAAATAATAATATTTTGCAACCCCCTAGACGGGCAACCAAAGAAAAACGAGGGTGGTTCTGAGTTGCTTATAGGTCCCTCTAGTCGACGTATTTCGAAATTTTTGTGAACACGAAGGTTTAGATGGGGTAAAAAATTTGTTTCCGGTATAAAGTTGAAAATTCTGCTCTAGATATTTAAATAATAATATTTTGCAACCCCCTAGACGGGCAACCAAAGAAAAACGAGGGTGGTTCTGAGTTGCTTATAGGTCCCTCTAGTCGACGTATTTCGAAATTTTTGTGAACACGAAGGTTTAGATGGGGTAAAAAATTTGTTTCCGGTATAAAGTTGAAAATTCTGCTCTAGATATTTAAATAATAATATTTTGCAACCCCCTAGACGGGCAACCAAAGAAAAACGAGGGTGGTTCCGAGTTGCTTATAGATCCCCCTAGTCGACGTATTTCGAAATTTTTGTGAACACGAAGGTTTAGATGGGATAAAAAAATTTGTTTCCGGCGTAAAGTTGAAAATTCTGTTCTAGATATTTAAATAATAATCTTTTACAACCCCCTAGAGGGCAACCAAAGAAAAACGAGGGAGGTGCTGAGTTGCTTATAGGTTCCCCTATTCCTTCTATTTTTATTTATTTATAAGTGAGGTGCGACAAACATGTGAAAATGTAGTATAAATTTCCCCCTGCAATTCGGTGATCTGAGCTCCTCCATCCCAAATATGATTTCCCGCACGTCATAAACCGTGGCTGGGGAAACCGTGGATAACATCACACAAACCTGGACTAAATAATTATTGTGCGAATTCGAAAGTGAGCCTGTATATTAATTTTTTAGTTTTTTTTTCTGTTAGAATTATTAATTTCAAGACATCCAGGACATTGGAAGAATGGGAATACATGGAGTATCAGTATATTTTATATAATTTGTTGGATATAGCCGAACATTATGACTTTTCAGACGAGGTAAGATATTCTTGACTACATATTTGATAATATTATTCACCAAAATCACATTTCAGATTGGCAGAAAAACTTTATACAAACTTATTACGACTATTTTGCAAAATCACAAGTTACTGTTCAAAGTGGCAAAGAAAATTGTTGGTATATTAGATAAATTAATTTCTAATGTGGATAGGCTTACCCATGAAATATGCCAAATTATATCTGACATTAGAGAACCACTCGTAGATAAACCGACAACTCGCTGTGGAAATACAAATAGAGAGTTTCAGGTCAAGTCTTTTCTTGCAATTTTTTTTGTCAAATTGAAATATAATATTCGTGTATATACGTTTTTAGGTGGCAGAATTGAAAGTGAAAATAAATATTTTACAAGGAGAAATAGAGGATGCTTTAAATATCCAAGACTTCCAAAAGGCGGCCGTTATTCAAAGCGAAATTGTGGAATATAGGGGGAAATTGGATGACATCCAAAAAGAGAGTCAAATTGTCAAAGTAAAAATTTCAAAAGATGATCCAGAAACCATTTCTCGGTGCTTAGACTTGCTTAGTGCTTTAATGGAACTGTCAAGTGTAAAAATGTTATCTCCATCTTTGGCCACATGTAGGACTGAATTTCTATTACCTTTACTGTCTAGTAATAATGTTGAAATTAATTGGAGAGTTTTGAAATGTATCGCCTTGTATTGTATACTCGACAAAAATATAGCAGCGGAACATGCTAGAGTGCTGTGTATTCCGGTAAGTAATCTGGATATTTGGGCAGGCATTTAATTACCATTATACATATACTTTACTATTTGGATTCTACGGTTTGAATTATTTGTTAGACGGTAAGTTGTGCAAAATCTGTTATTCCGCGCGCCATTATTCCATGGCTAGAAATTGGCCTCAATGATTTGGGATCGAGGGGGATTATCCCTCTTTATCCTGCCTCATCTCGTGTAGGCCTGGACAGACTTCGTAAGTGGGCCCCATCCGTCGTCTACCCCGACCGCAAATGCGGCCGGTGTAGGCGCTTTGTGGGACCTCCCTTTGTCCTGGCAGGGCCCCGCCGGCTAGGGCCCTTTCTTCGGGCGCTCTTCTTGCTTCGCCGGCTAATCTGTTATTAATGTTTAATACCTACTAACAATTGGAACTTGAAAATTTTAATTACATTTATTGCATATGCATCTAAGCGGACTTTCCACATGCACCTGCAAGTTATTATTGCTAGTTTTTTGCATATCGAAACGTGTAAAGCTCCATGAAAGTGGCACCTCTAACATAGCCACCTACAAATTCAGATGGAATTATACTTTCTGGTGCTATAGTACGATCGTATTCGATGCAAAGTAGAGCAAAAAATTGTCGGTCTTTTATCAAAGGAAAATCGTGTCATCATTTTTAGAAGGCGTAAGATGAACAATTTCTACACTAACACTAACAACAATTCTCTATCAACCTCAACAAAATAAGTTATTTTTCTATCCAACAAAAAATATTAACAAATTAAAAACAAAATATAAATTCTATATACCGAAAAGTAATAATAGTTCTAGATTAATCTAATTAAAATAAATACACCAAATACACCAATACAATAAATCACTAAACTTCACTATATCACTACTACATATCACTATTATTGCACTAGCAACCACAAGGAACAAGAAAACGGTTAGGCACCACTACTACTACTACTGAAACTATCACTGTCACTATCATTCCCTGTATTAATAATTATTGGGTCAATAATAATGTCAACTTGCATGTCCATATTCCATAAGTTTTCTTCAACTTTTTTTACGTGCTCTATACACTTTGTCCAATAATCCGCCGTAATTTCTTCTAACGCCTTATCCAGTAGAACTTTAATATCTTCCAATTTAAATGATCTGTTCTCTCGTGCAACTTTTCCTTTTACTGCAGCCCAAATAAGTTCAATAGGGTTAAGTTCACAATGGTAAGGTGGCAACCTTAGCACTTCTATATCTTTAGCTCTGGCCATTTCATCCACAACATATTTCTTATACGTTGGAGAGTGTTGCTTTGCGAGAGTTAGTAATTGCGCCTTAACGAAGCCGGGTTCATACGAAATATTTTTACCATCTGACCATTTTTGAGTGTCCGCTTTCCGCCAAGTAGTTGTGGGTAACATTTCCAGTAATCGACTATGGTATGGCGCGTTATCCATAACAATGACAGATCCGGGTTCTATATCCTAAAGAATTCTTGAAAACCATGTCTCGAAGGTATATCCATTCATATCTTCGTGATAATCACCAGTTTTTTTCGAAACAAAAGATAACAGTCCATCTTTTACAAATCCTGAATTGCTTCCTATATGGGTTACTATCAATCGTTTGCCTTTTCCCGTTGGTGTTTTTAATCCTGTTGACCAACCCTCCATATGGGCTTGACGTACACTTTTTACATTATTGTCCTGCCAGATTTTTGTTACAGTATGTCCTTGATTTAGCCATGTCTCATCTAGATAAAAACATTTTCTTCCCTGTTGTCGAGCAGCTCTGATAGCTTGAATATAATTTCTCCGCCAAACAATAATTTCATCTCTTTCGATCAAAAAACTCTTTCTGTTCGCTTTGGCATATACAAAATTCATATCGTGCAGAATCTTTAGCATCGATGTTTTGTCCATCTTGGGAACATTATCTTCTTCGCTTAAAGCCTCATGAACTTTTTTCACAGTAGGGATTTTGTTGTCATAAAAAAATTTATGTACTGTACGCCGAACTGCATTTTTCTCATCTTCATTTAATATTAATTTCTTCTTTCCACCACCTTTTTTAGGTTTCTTAACGTTCCTTCATTTCTCTTCTCTCTTAAAATTTTGAAAACAGATGATTCCCTTACTCCAGTATATCAGAATACATTTCCACCAAACCAGTCTTCAGTTTCATGGGATGATCCTTTTCTAAAGCGTTATAGACATTTAATATTATCGTTTTTTCTCTATAACTTAATACAGATTTTTTTGTACCCACAGCAGTACATCCGGCTCGCGAACATCCAGGCACCGCCTCCATTTTTCCATATAACGACAACAGAGCAATAATAATACAAAAAACTTCACTTCACTAGCACAGAAAATATAATAGCATTCACGATTCACAAACAACAGCCCGAAACACACACAGCACACAAATAAAACACTAAAAACACTTTTGTTACGGTGCACAAGAAATATGATTTCACTCACAAATTCTCAAATAATAGCGCGAAACACACATATAGCCCGAAAGAAATATAATTGCACTTATAACAGTTATAACCTCACAAATATCGCGAGCGAGAAACACGCAGCACCAATACAACCGAAACGAAACTGACCACGCCAGGCCGGCACGCGCGCCGCCGCAAAAAAACACAAGACACAAGTCATATGAGGGATAATGAAGGGAGTAATAAATGTATTGTTGTCCTGCCGCCCAATGTGCGAAGGAGATGCCTTTGTTTTTCATTTTGTCCTTCATAAATATATAACTGTTAATCCATAATGCATAAAGAAATTATTCAATTTCCAAAACCCCCTATAAAATGTGTTGCACTGATTCCCTTGACAGGCAATGATTTATTACTTTGCATCGAATATGATCGTACTATAGTTTGCATCCGTCAACATGTGGTTGTATACAATTAAAAATGTCGATAGCATCAATTTAAATATAGGGTGCGTCGGTCAATATCTAGGGAAGTACTGCTTTGAAAAATTTGAAAATTTGGCAACATGGCAATGTCCCTGGTGCGAACACAACTAAAATATCTAGAACTCTCTAGCACTTCCGGTTATGCCGGAAGTCGACACCAACTTCCGTTATTTTAAATGGGACACACTATATATTATTTTTAATAAATATTTCATTTTTGCTGTTACATTTTCATAACTTCAAACAGCTATAACTTTGTTAACTTAAATGGAACACCCTGTATTTTTTTACTCTGTCGTATGCACAGATTGAAGTTTCCTTTCAAGTCATATGATCATTGTTAGGCTTGCCGTTACTAGTTTTAGAGATATTTGCAATTTTCTATTTTTTGGTACTTTTTCTCGTATCAGACCTGTTGTCAAATTGGCCATGAACAGAAACACTTCAAAACAATTAAAATAACTCGACATTTGTCAAATTAGTTGTTAAATTATTGTTATGTCTGTAATAGTTTTTGCTGAAAATTTATATAGAAATTCCTGGGGATCGTTTAAATTATACTTATGAGGATTATTTTAATTTCTTTGTTATTTATGGAAAAAAGCAGCAAATTCTCTGCATATTCTTGAAATTACATTATCACATCTTCCATAAATAACAAACAATTTAAAATAATCCTAATTAGTATAATTTAAAAGATCCCCAGGCAATTCTATTTAAATTTAAAGCATAAACTATTCAGACAACAATAATTTGACAACTATCTCGACAAATGTTATGTTATTTCAATTGTTTTTGGACTATTTCTGGCTATGGCCAATTTGACAACAGGTTTGATACGAAAAAAAGTGTCCAAAAAATAGAAAATTGTAAATATCTGTAAAAGTAGTAAAGGTAACCCTAACAATGACCATATGACTTGAAAGGAAACTTCAATCTGTGCATACGACAGAGTAAAAACATATAGGGTGTTCCAATTAAGTTAACAAAGTTATAGCTGTTTGAAGTTATCAAGATGTAACAGTAAAAATGAAACACCTAGTATTAAATGTTTTAATTTGTTGGTATAACACGATTTAGTGTTACCCACGCCCTTTGCAGGTACAAAAAATCCACTTGACATCACGCTCCTGAAAAGAGTTACTAGCACCTCCGCAGACCCTTGCATCTGCCAAATTTTTTCATTAAAAATTAATATCTCAAAATCTATAACTCCTAGGTATAGGGAATATTTAATAAAGTGATTCTCAAATTTCACGTAGAACACGAAAATGCAATAATATATAGGGTGTCCTATTTAAAACAACATAGTTGGTTTCGACTTCCGGTATAACCGGAAGTGCTGGAGAGTTCTAGATATTTTAGTTGTGTTCGCCCCAGGGGCATTGCCATGTTCTCAAATTTTTTAAATTTTTGGGAGCAGCACTTTCCTAGATACCGATCAACGCAGTTCCCGGTAGTGATGGGAATAACGGCTCGAAATCGATAACGTTATAACTTGGAACGTTGCAAAAGAATAACGTTCTAAAATAACGTTATTTTGGAACGAGGTTACTTCTGGAAGTTTGACAGTTTGACACCGAGTGCGTTCTGCGACTTCTGCAACATCGTGGCTGATTTGAAAGGACTACGATGTGTAATGTAACGATAGTAACTATGTAAGTTTTATTATTTGGATGCGTTGAACCGATATTCTTTTTGCCAAAATATTTGGAACTTTCCTATTTGTACTCATATTTTTTGTTTTCTTTTGCTTCTTTAGTATAAAGTTCATTTTTATAATATTCATTGTATTAATACAATATGTATAAATAGCAATCTGCAGTTTTCACTTTCATAAATAAAATTAATGTCTACATAGCCATTACATTATTATTTTCTACATACACTTGCATAATGTAAAACGTTTTAATTTCAGTTTGTGTTTATTTTTGTGTTTATAAAATAAAGTTAAGTTACAATACGACACCTGATGGTTACAGCCGTACAACGCCAAAACAACGCATTGCATGCTTGTTAGTTGTTTGCTTGTTCTATGTTCTATCTATTTCGCAGTTGCACGTTCGTTCCTCAGTAATGCGTTACAAGAGAAATTGGTCACGTTCTGGAACGTTCCAATAAGATAACGTTCCAAAATAACGTTATTGGAATAACGACCCATCACTAGTTCCCGGTGGGACACCCTCTATAAATTGTCAATTCCATGCTGTTAGTTCCGTGTTAAATCGTTAACACGCAATAATTGATGTTATACGCGTGGAACTGACATTAATTTTCAACGTTATATATATCGTATTAAAAATAAAGCTAATTCTTTTGTCTAGTTAAATTATCGAATATTCAAATACAGTAGAACTCCGATTATCTGTGTGCGAATTGTCCGAGGTGCAGAATTTGTGGTGACATGTTATTTTGTGTTTTTCCATAAGTCGACATTTTAAACGCACGTAAAAGATGTCAGAAAATAATGAAAACCAGAAAAAGCTAAATACGGACCAAAAAGTTTAAAAAATTTTCAATGATTTGCGCATTATTACACAGGCCGACAAAATTTCAAAAAAAAAAATTCCAGAAATCAGACACTATGCTTCCGAAGGCATTTGGCGCGCTGAATCCGAATCTGGCCTCAGAATTGATCCATCACCCTGGGTTTCCGAGATATTCTAACCTAAAAGTGTAAAAAACACGTACTTTTGCTATATTCAAGGTTATGTAACTTGGCGAAAAAAATTTTTTTCTAAAAACTGAAAACATCATTGGAAACAACTATCTTTCCCCTTCAAAACGCATTTTTTTATTTGGAAAAAGCTATTTTTCGCGGAGATATCGTCAATTTAAGATGACCAGTATGGCTATATTATTACATCATGGCTAACCCCATAACACTGAGCGCTGCTAGCCCTAATTGTTAGGAACGTTAACCCTAAGCCCTATAAGCCCACAACACTAAACGGAGCGAGCCCTCATTGTCAGGAAGGTTAACTTCAAGCCCTATAACCCAATAACACTAAGCGCTGCGAGCCCTAATCGTCAGGAAGGTTAACCCCAAGCCCTATATGTCTGGAAGGTTAATCCCAAGCCCTATTGGGTTATTGGTGTTAACCTTCCTGACATATAAGGCTCGTAGCGCTTAGTGATATTGTGTTATAGGTCGAGCCATGGTAATAAGGTAGCTATACTGATCATCTTTAATCGCCGATATCTCCGCGAAAAATAAAGCTTTTTACAAATAAAAAAATGCGTTTTGAAGGGGAAAGATAGTAGTTTCCAATGATATTTTCAGTTTTGAGAAAAATAAAATTTCGCCAAGTTACATAACATTGAAAATAGCAAAAATACGTGTTTTTGCACTTTTAGGTTAGAATATCTCGGAAACCTAGGGTAATGGATCAATTCTGAGGCCAGATTCGGATTCAGCGCGCCAAATGCCTTCGGAAACGTATTGTCTGATCTCTGGAACTGTGGCCTGTGTTATCTATGTATTGCTCCATTTCTTATGTGAAAAACAAATGTTTTGATTATTCGTGTTTCTCAATTATCAGTACCGCGCTCGGTCCCGTACATCACGGATAATCAAGTTTCTACTGTAGAGTCGTATTATTAAAATACTTGCATTTGCATTTACCTCTCTAAATTTATACTTAAATAGAATTAATTGAAATATTTGAATTATTCCCAGCACTAATAGAAGCAGGCATTTTGTACCCAATAACATATTATAAAAAAAAAACTAATATAAAAATCTGTTTAATAGATGGAAAAAAATTCCACAACTTTTTTAATTATAAAGTCTGTTTTTTGTCCAAGGAATTTTAGTAACTCAAAAGAAAGAAATATGTTCTTTCACAAAAAAAAAATTATATTTGCCACAGCTGATAAAAGTATATTATTACCAATTATTTCTGTCAAATAGAAAGTCTTCAAAAAACATGTTCCATCACTTATAAAAGTAATTAATTTTTTACTTCATTTCTGAGGTGTATAGTTTGTTGCGGCTTCACCGCAAAAAGTTGTTATCATAATTACAATTCATTTTAAAATATATAAAATTAATTTTCTTCTCTTTTTCATTTGTTGCAACAACATGATTGTTTCGAGTTTATTCAATCAAATACGAAAATCCTTCTTTTTTTTACATACTGTTTTTTTTTTGTCGGAGATGGTTTTTGTGTATAATTCAATTCATTCGATTCGAGAGACTCGACATAGTAAAAAGCGCGTGTGATTCCCAACTCCATAATAATAAATAGACAGCCGCATCAACATTTTCAAGACATCAGAAGGACCCTTCAAGAACATACGAATTTCAAGAGAGGTAAACCATCTCCAACCATTTCATTTGCTTATTCATACAACCACCACTTTGAATAACAGTGGCGTTATAACATAGTTGTTTTTCCATTTTGTAAGTTTTTCAAGCAGTCTACGCAAAAAATGTCCATAATCAATGTTTAATCATTCCGCCAAGAAAATACTTTGGTGCTAAAATTAGTCTCCCTCGCCCCCTCCTTGCGGGTATGGTAAAGGGGTAACTTTTAACTCTTAAATTAAGGAACCTCCTCTATTTTTTATTGCAGAATCGGATTCTGTGGTAAAAATACATCCATTTAAAATGTGTATATGTATAATGATAATTAAATGTTATATGAAAAAATTGTATTTTTGACTAAAAAATTATTGTCTTCAGTAAGAATGATTAATCGACACTTGCAATTTTAGATTATTACATATCGAGCAATACCAAATTATAACAAATTTGCTTTGATGCAATCAGTGGCTACTATTTGCGATCTGGTGCGTATTTATGGGCCTGAACTATTTGGTAGTGAGAAAGATACCAACAGTTCGTCATCAACATTACATAATGCAACGAAAAGGAGGCTGTATAGAAATGAAACTGTGGATGATGTAAATGTCATGGATAACGACAGATTGAATGTGGACGTTATTATTGAAATCATATTGGACATGCTAGATGACGAGGTTAATTTGATTTTATTCCTCTAATATAATAAAAACATTTCAGTTGGTCATATCTATAGAAATTTTATAATTTAGAGACAGGTCTTATTAACGAAATACTCTAAAATTAGTTGCAGTTACGTTTAATATTTTTTTTATTTTTATTTTCACCTATCCCATTTGTCAACTTCTAATGATATTTAGAGGAATTTTTCAAAAGATTAAAAATTTAATCTTTAATAAGATTAAATTTTCATTTCCACCTTTTTTTCTGTACACAAATGTCTTATTTTTGTGTCCAAATAAAGATAACAGATGTTAAACAAGGCAAAAATGGGCCATATTTTTAATAGTAATTATTATAAATACTACAAAATAATCAGTAACACTAAATAAATAATCTTACTGCCAAGCGGGAGTTATTACAGAAAACTTTTTATTTGCGTAACTTCACTCTATCTCTCTATTAGTAAATAAAATGAGCAAAAGTAAAAAGTCCAGGTCAAGTCTTTTGCGTATTTTTTTTATTTTATGGCAATATTTGGAAAGGTGGCCAACACCCCGTCGTGCTTAATTATTATTTTGAAGTACAAAAATTGTGTTTGATGTGATTATTTTTTGAGTAAATTTGAACACTAAGAACAATTTATTAAATATAAAAATTACAGTTATTGCCGCGTTCGGTCCCGTACATCACGGGTAATCGGGGTTCTACTGTACTCGTGTTTATTTTAGTCATCATATACATAGATGTAGGTTTACTGAGCCAAGAAGATAATTTGGTTTGCCATAATACTTTGATATGACAGAGGCCTGCCTGCCACATAATGGTACTGTCCTGCATGCTGAGTCTCTGAATTCCAAAAATACCCTGGCACTCTTCAGACAGCACATTTTTTCAAGGTTTCTTTTAGTTCTTGCCACGACGATATTTTATTATGTAGATACCTACTGTTTAAATAAGTTTGATTGTTTTTATTTTTATGTATATACATATTACAGTATATTTTTAATATGTGTATGTTTGCTCACTGAATACAGTTAAACCTGTAATCTCTTTTAATTGACTATTCCTATACAATGTATATTGTCAAAATGGAAAATAAATTATTATTATTATTATTATTATTTATGGGCAGATAGCAATTTTTGTATCAGGGGGAATATTGAATTTGTCCATATGGAGGATACACTCATATAAAATAACTTGTTTTTTCTTTTTTAGAATGCAGATATTCGAGAAATTGCTGTAACTGCTCTTTCTAAGTTAATCCTTAATGAATTTCCTGTTAATTCATCCTTAATTTGTAGAATTATATTAAAATGGTTCAATCCATTAGGTAAGTTTATAATTAATAAGTACCTACATATAAAGTCATATTTACCACCTACTGTTCGGGAACGANGTCATCATATACATAGATGTAGGTTTACTGAGCTAAGAAGATAATTTGGTTATCATCTATATTTGCCATAATACTTGGATATGACAGAGGCCTGCCTGCCACATAATGGTACTGTCCTGCATGCTGAGTCTCTGAATTCCAAAAATACCCTGGCACTCTTCAGACAGCACATTTTTTCAAGGTTTCTTTTAGTTCTTGCCACAACGATATTTTATTATGTAGATACCTACTGTTTAAATAAGTTTGATTGTTTTTATTTTTATGTATATACATATTACAGTATATTTTTAATATGTGTATGTTTGCTCACTGAATACAGTTAAACCTGTAATCTCTTTTAATTGACTATTCCTATACAATGTATATTGTCAAAATGGAAAATAAATTATTATTATTATTATTATTATTTATGGGCAGATAGCAATTTTTGTATCAGGGGGAATATTGAATTTGTCCATATGGAGGATACACTCATATAAAATAACTTGTTTTTTCTTTTTTAGAATGCAGATATTCGAGAAATTGCTGTAACTGCTCTTTCTAAGTTAATCCTTAATGAATTTCCTGTTAATTCATCCTTAATTTGTAGAATTATATTAAAATGGTTTAATCCATTAGGTAAGTTTATAATTAATAAGTACCTACACATAAAGTCATATTTACCACCTACTGTTCGGGAACGATTACAGATCGTTACAATTTGTGTATCGAAAACGGTGGTCGTAACTATAAAGTTTGATGCATTATTATTTCTTAATAAAATGTTCCTTAACTTGACTGCTTCAATTTAGTAAGTTACTACTCTTTCCTGTTGTAATTCAGATTGTTTTCAAAAGATTTCCAACTTATCTTCACACTCTATAGTAGAATATCAAATTCGATGCAAAATAATAAATCGTTGCCTGTCAAGGGAACCAATGAAGTACGCTTTTAAGGGTTTTACAAATTGAATAATTTCTTTATACATTATGAACGGACGAAGGGATCATTTCACCCATGTTCCTTCAAAAATTCCTTTATTCTCATAAACCACTTATTTTAAATGTAATTTATTATAAATCCAATTTGTTTTTTAAACTCCACGTATGTACTACATTTTACCTCGGTACGCGCCACTGTTACTTGTTTTTTGGAGACGTTCTCTGATTTACGACCAAGCTCGCCAGATTAGTATTTGACGTATAACCGACCACTTCGTACACTCGATGCACCTGGCCGACTACAGCTACTACCAGAACACAATGCATATGATGCGGTATTTCAGATTGTACATTCAGTTTCATTTTAAATTTGAAATTGTTCATCTTGCGCCTTCTAAAAATGATGACACGTTTTTCCTTTGATAAAAGAAGCATCGAATACGATCCTACTATAGTTCACACCGACAAATTTGTGGACACTAGCTTCTTAATAAAAAAACGTTTACTTAAGTGCCCTCTATCATTTCTGAAAATGAAGAACAGTTTTTCTGTGACACCCTGTACATCTGTGTGTGTGTGTGTGTGTGTGTACGGTGCTAAATAATATTTTTCTTTTATGTAGAGAAATCTGTTGACAAAAGTCAACAGAAGCTGGGATTTCTTATAAGCAATTTTACCAAATTGATAAAAGGTGCTAGAGAAGTTATTGAAAAAGCAGTAGTGCCAATTATATCGAGTATAGCAAATGCTCCAAGGACAAGTCCCCTTGCAGATGTAGAAATAGATAATGTTATACAATTCCTTTCGGCACTAACTAATTCTAATGGCACAACGGTTAGTCCTTTATCATCTTGGTTATAATATACACTTTATAAAATTTTGATTGTCTGTTGTAGGAGGTAGTCCACATTCACACCGACCTAGCTAACCTGCTTTGCTACAATATCGCAAATAAACCTAAAGATCTCACTGTACCATATTTAACAAAAATATTGTTACATCTGGAAATACCACCTGAGAAGACAGTTGCAATTAGAGAATTATTGACACAAGTTGAGCTGCTTCTAGAAGACAAGGTAGTATATTTATAATTAACTACTTACAAGATTTAAATCATCGGGCCAAATCTCACCACGTTCGCCAAATTTTTTCAGATATTTTATAAAATGTAATTTTTTGTTTAACCCTTTCACTGCTCCAGACGTATATATTCGCTAAAAATTTATAGGGCTCAAACTGCTCCAGACTGATTAATTCGCATGAATAGTTAAATTGGATCAGGCTGCTCAAACCGTATATATTCGCAACCATGCGCATCAGTGACTCGGTCATTGCAATTAGTAAGGCGAAATTTTGCGGGCGAGCTTATACCGATTGTGACAAATATTTTTATGGAAAGAGGTACTGGTAATAATACCAAGATTGTTCATGTTTCTTTCAATTTCTATTTAGCACATATACTGTATTTTATTCAAAATAAAATCGTAAAATTTATCGTAAATCGTAATTTAACGCAACATAATGTAAAACTATAAGTGGTCTAACTGCTCCAGACGTATATATTCGCACGCGATAAATTTCGCGCATGGCGCGGTAGCTACGTTCAGACGTATTGTGCAGCGAAAGGGTTAATTTCAACACTTTTAAAGTGCTAACGGGATATGTAATTATTTTTACTGTATTGTTTTTACTGCTGTATTACACAAAAAAATATTTATCCAATAATGGTAAATGTTCCATAAAGGACCTCTTTAAGACTGTCTTTATGGAAATGTGGGCTCGGTCAAATTGGCTGAGATTCTGGTAAGTTGTTGGTTTTGTGTTAACTGACCAAAATCAGAATGGGTAGAATGTTGCTATAAAAACGGTAACTTTTGTGTAATGTTTATAAAAAAAAAATAGTCGGACGACTCCGAAAAGTTGCTAATTAACATTTTTGACGTATGCCAAATACCAAAAGAATTGAATTCCGGACCAAAGCGCTGTGGAGACTTTTGGTCAGTAACACAAAACCAACAAATTGTCACAATTTTGGTCAATTTGACCAAGCCCACATTTTCATAAAGACAGTGCGGAGACCACAATCCAAAAGTAACAATCACATACATATTTATTAAGGTCTATTCGTTTCCTTCAATTACACTGGCCGACAAAATTAAAAAAAAAAAATTCCAGAGATCAGACACTACGCTTCCGAAGGCATTTGGCGCGCTGAATCCGAATCTGGACTCAGAATTGATCCATCACCCTAGGTTTCCGAGATATTCTAACCTAAAAGTGCAAAAAACACGTACTTTTGCTATATTCAAGGTTATGTAACTTGGCGAAAAAATTTTTTTTCTCAAAACTGAAAACATCATTGGAAACGACTATCTTTCCCCTTCAAAACGCATTTTTTTATTTGGAAAAAGCTCTATTTTTCGCGGAGATATCGTCAATTTAAGATGACCAGTATGGCTATATTATTACATCATGGCTAACCCCATAACACTGAGCGCTGCTAGCCCTAATTGTTAGGAACGTTAACCCCAAGCCCTATAACCCCACAACACTAAGCGGAGCGAGCCCTCATCGTCAGGAAGGTTAACTTCAAGCCCTATAACCCAATAACACTAAGCGCTGCGAGCCCTAATCGTCAGGAAGGTTAACCCCAAGCCCTATATGTCTGGAAGGTTAATCCCAAGCCCTATAACCCCACAACACTAAGCGCTGTGAGCCCTAATCGTCAGGAAGGTTAACTTCAAGCCCTATTACCCAATAACACTAAGCGCTGCGAGCCCTCTAAGGCTCGTAGCGCTTAGTGATATTGTGTTATAGCCATGGTTTAATAAGGAAGCTATACTGATCATCTTTAATCGACGATATCTCCGCGAAAAATAAAGCTTTTTACAAATAAAAAAATGCGTTTTGAAGGGGAAAGATAGTAGTTTCCAATGATATTTTCAGTTTTGAGAAAAAAAATTTTTTCGCCAAGTTACATAACCTTGAAAATAGCAAAAATACGTGTTTTTTGCACTTTTAGGTTAGAATATCTCGGAAACCTAGGGTGATGGATCAATTCTGAGGCCAGATTCGGATTCAGCGCGCCAAATGCCTTCGGAAACGTAGTGTCTGATCTCTGGAATTTTTTCCTTGTTGGCCTGTGTTATTTAACATTAAAAGAAATGTTTTATTTCAAGAATACCAAATGTTTACCAAATTTCCATTTTAGACTTCTTGTTAGTCTCTTCTACCATTTGCTAACCAAATAATATATAATTATCTTTTTTGTTCAAAGTTTAATTTGGTCAATATTTAATTTGGTCCCCTCCCAAACAATATATATTTCTCCATTTTACTCATCGTGCACAATTTAAGTGGTAGTTAAACAGTAGTAAAATAATGGAATGTTTGCCTCACAAAAATGTGTATAGTTGTGTCACACAGAATACAATGAAAGTTAATGCGAACTGTACAAGTAAATTCACTGACAACTGCTTACATAAATTTTTATTTGATTTTTAAAATTCCTATTCGAATTGCACACCATTGCTATCAACAGTGTCTCTCTACTGGTAAATAAAAGGAGAAGGGGGCGGCAGTATGAAATTTTAGTTGACCGTTTTATAAATGGATAGCGTGATTATAGTATCTATAGCCTGAAACGTCACAACTGTTCTATTTTATACAAATTTAAAAAATACGGGGCAAATTTTGGCAAGTAACCCCATTGAATACTTATATTGTTTATAGGAGGATGATATAGATAAAGGACCCAAAAAAAATTTAAAGAAATTTGCTGAAAAGTTGAGAGCTGCACTAAAATACCAAACTGGCAAGAACCCAACTGAAAACGAAGTCGAACAGCAGAATAATTTACTGGCACAAAATAAAAGTTTTCAGAATACAAATGAGAAGACACAGGAAACACAGCAAGTGAATGTTCATATATTAAATAAAAGTCGAGAAAATAGTGCAAAAAATACATCAGCAGCAATAAGCAGAAATGATGATAAAACATTTGTTGATAGTACTTGCAGTATAGAAGGTGGAAAATCTGAAAGACTTTTCTCTTCTCGGTTAAAAACCATAGAAAGGCGAAAGGCAAAAGATGGTAAAAACAGGATAAATAAAAAAAATGTACAAAATGATGCATATCCTAACAAAGATGTTACAAAAAAAATAGATAAATTAAGTAACACTGCATTTAATCAGGAAAGCAATAATAAATCTAGAAATAATCTAGAGATTCTGAGAAAAGAAACTAATACTAATAAAAATGAAAACGGAGGGTTTCAAAGTGTAAAACACACTAACAAGAAAAGGGGGGATGTTAAAAATTGTGAACCTAAAAGCAAAAAGGGTGTAACAGATGTAGAGAGTGATTCAGCAGTAACAGACAATGAAGCAGATGGTCGAAAAATACTCAGAAGATCCAAGAGGCAAAAAACATATTTGAAATCGACCGATTCAAAAAAACAAAAAGTATCAGAAGTAAATAGAACTCAAAATTTAACAGTAGACAGTGATCAAGATAAAGTATCAAATACAAATTCCAACAATTTAGGAAGTACTGCATGCACGTTATGTATGTTAATTATTAAATTTATGGATTTTTTTTTTATTATACCGTTACGTTTTTCAGTGAGAAATAATTTTCCTGACAAGAGTTTAGTAGAGGGTGTTCATGGAGTGAAGAGAAAGAAATTGAGAAGGAGAAAGGGACAAAATTCTCTTGAATCAGAAGAAAAGAAGTTACAGAATTCAATAGCATCGGAAGAAACCATCTTGTACACAATTATGGATAATAGTAAACAAGTCGGTTAATATTTGTAGTTTTAAGAACATTTTGAAAGGAGACTGATTTTTTTCCCTTTTTTTAGGCAAGTGAATTAACAAATGAAACTTCTGAGAGCAAATCATCGGAATATTCAAGTTACAGTATTGACCGTACTCAAAGAAATAACATTATTTCCGAAACATCTTCTGAATCAGAGTAAGTAAACATCTTTTTCGAAGCAGATCTTAAAAAGTAAAGAGATTTTAACAATTCTGTTATTTTTACTATTTGTTATTTTTTTTTTGTTTTGTACAGTACAGTATGTTACAAAAACGTAGTAAATCTGTCAACATGGTTAGGTGAAAATAATGGAACTGTATTTATGCCACTTTTCATTAGGAGTTTCTTTTGCAAAGGGTCAATAAGACGTTCACTTGAAATTTTGCATAGATTTTAATCTTTGGCAGACGCATTTTTTTACATAATTTTGATATAAAAAAAATTGTGTCGCCAATGGAGGAAAGGAAGTTGTAGTACTTATGTACTATTTCATTACTACTATTTTCAACTAACCTGGAATATTTTAATTGCATCAGGTGTAATTTTTAATAAAGCATATAATTGATTGATTTTTTTTTCTCAAGAAATCAGTTTATTTTTGGTCAAATCCTTTTAACTAATCAATAGGTTTTTTTTTATTGCATACCTATTCTGATTTCTGATTCAGCAACAGTTTTTACTACGTTTTGTCTCTCAAATATCCAGACAGGAAAGGGCCAATAAAATGAGAACTATAGATTACTGTTACAAGAATAAATTTATTTTAAAACTGGTTAAAGCTTTGTGAAATTTAAAATAGTTTTCTTTTGTAAATGTTCCGAGTTACAGTGTAACTGCTACAACCCGGTATTTGAATAGAATAATTACTTTCTCATAAAGATTAATTAAGGGTCTAAAAAATTGTAATAAGTTTATGTTGGTGGTGTTAGTAGTAAGGTTCATTAGTATACTATTTTTCTTATTCTCCTCTACTCTATTAGTTTTAGTAGAAGGACTATTTACACACTTGTAACAATTTAGCAGAGAAAACTTTAAAGTTTGTGACAATAAACATGGTCAGGCACCATTACCGAGTACTGCCGTACTCTACTCATACGAAACTGCTTAGATTGATATTAATGACGTTAAAAAGGTAGGCAGCACAGAAAATTATGAATATTGGAAGGAGAGATATATGTTAGCGGTTTTTTTTTACTATTCCACATATTTTATCCACTGCAGCCTACTACTACAAACACCAATGTAAACTTTGCTTTAGTCACCAAGAGATAATAGTCCGGGAGGCAGCGACAGAAATTTTGCACCAATTCCTACAAAGCTGATTTTTTCTCATTTTGTTGTTTTGATATCGTAAGTAACCGGAACGGCAGTCTACCGCGCCAATGTGGGGGCAAACGTTAGTAACAATTTTTTAAACATGTAAATAAATAATACTTAAATGCCTTATACCTACAAGGCTGAAACTTTTTAGAGTGATCAATTATACCTAAAAATACAGTATAGTGATAGTCTACCGCGTCGGAAGGGGGGCCATCAAGGGTCTACCACCCACGCAAGGTGTTGAAAAATTAACTTTTTTGACTTATTTCTACAAGGCTGAATTTTTTTTCTCAAATACTTTAGTTTATAAGAGAACCAAAAAAAAAAAGTCTACCGATCATCTAAGGGTGCAAAGCCTTGATAGACGCAATGGAATGCACGATCTCCCGAGCGCAGTCGCTGCGCCGATTCACTGTAAGCCGCTCTGAATAATAACTCATACCGGGATTAAATTACAATCTACAAAGCTGCTTTTTTGTCTATAGATATCTTACAATAATTATTGTCAAATAAACGTCTTATACCTTCGATACGAGGTGGCTAAAGCTTCGGTAGACGTGGCGAAAGTTTTTGCGCGGAAGTTGCTTAAAATTCCAAATTTATTATTAATTACAGTTTTTTGAGCTTACACCATTATTTAAACGTATGATATAGTAACAACGAGCGAGCGTTAGCGAGCGAGATTTTTGCTAGTATAATAGGTATTAACAAAAGTTCAAAAATTTTTTTTTTCAAATAACTGACCTTTTTCTTTTTTAACATTGAATAATTAAATTTATTTCACTTTTACTTATAATTTATAACAATAATACTTTTCGATAATAGCGCGCGAAATGCTTGATTTGCGATTCATCATCACATTCGTCAATTACACTCGTGCGAGAATTATTCTATCGCACTAGTATCGAACAATATTTTACGACACTTATTTATAAAATAAATGATAACAACGCAAATGTTTTTTATTACAACAATATAGTAATTATATAAAAAATAAATATATTTTTCTTATTCCTCATCGCTACTGACATTTGATTCCTCATCGCCTTCCATATCATCACTATCTTCATCCTCATCATCTTTCTGGTCACACACTCCATCATTTTCTTTAAGGTATTGACAACCGTCATTTGCAATTTCTGTATCTGCAAATAGCAATATATTATTAAATATTTATTATATTATGCTAACATAAATTCACCCCCTTTAGGGTCTGAAAGTCATTTTTTAATTGAGTTTTAGACCTCCTTAAAATGCAAATATGTGTACCTGAATCTTTATCGTTCTGTAGATCAAACGTCACATCGATCAGTGATGTTTTTGAAAGCTTACAAAACTACTAACGATAAAATCTTTCGTCAAAAGGTCAAGAGTTTCGATGCATCTGCTTTACCACCTTGTCAATCAGAGCTCCGAGAACACATACTCCGAACAGCATATATTGCACAAATTTGGAGTAATGCTCACTTAAAAGAGCCTACAACATTATCCCCACTCGACTGTGGCTGGAAAGTGGATGAGAATGCAAGATATGATTTTAATTGGTTTAGTGGCGACCAATTGCCTCAGTCAATCGATGATGTGACGTTTGATCTACAGAACGATAAAGATTCAGGTACACATATTTGCATTTTAAGGAAGTCTAAAACTCAATTAAAAAATGACTTTCAGACCCTAAAGGGGGTGAATTTATGTTAGCATAATATAATAAATATTTAATAATATATTGCTATTTGCAGATACAGAAATTGCAAATGACGGTTGTCAATACCTTAAAGAAAATGATGGAGTGTGTGACCAGAAAGATGATGAGGATGAAGATAGTGATGATATGGAAGGCGATGAGGAATCAAATGTCAGTAGCGATGAGGAATAAGAAAAATATATTTATTTTTTATATAATTACTATATTGTTGTAATAAAAAACATTTGCGTTGTTATCATTTATTTTATAAATAAGTGTCGTAAAATATTGTTCGATACTAGTGCGATAGAATAATTCTCGCACGAGTGTAATTGACGAATGTGATGATGAATCGCAAATCAAGCATTTCGCGCGCTATTATCGAAAAGTATTATTGTTATAAATTATAAGTAAAAGTGAAATAAATTTAATTATTCAATGTTAAAAAAGAAAAAGGTCAGTTATTTGAAAAAAAAAATTTTTTAACTTTTGTTAATACCTATTATACTAGCAAAAATCTCGCTCGCTAACGCTCGCTCGTTGTTACTATATCATACGTTTAAATAATGGTGTAAGCTCAAAAAATTATAATTAATAATAAATTTGGAATTTTAAGCAACTTCCGCGCAAAAACTTTCGCCACGTCTACCGAAGCTTTAGCCACCTCGTATCGAAGGTATAAGACGTTTATTTGACAATAATTATTGTAAGATATCTATAGACAAAAAAGCAGCTTTGTAGATTGTAATTTAATCCCGGTATGAGTTATTATTCAGAGCGGCTTACAGTGAATCGGCGCAGCGACTGCGCTCGGGAGATCGTGCATTCCATTGCGTCTATCAAGGCTTTGCACCCTTAGATGATCGGTAGACTGTTTTTTTTTGGTTCTCTTATAAACTAAAGTATTTGAGAAAAAAATTCAGCCTTGTAGAAATAAGTCAAAAAAGTTAATTTTTCAACACCTTGCGTGGGTGGTAGACCCTTGATGGCCCCCCTTCCGACGCGGTAGACTATCACTATACTGTATTTTTAGGTATAATTGATCACTCTAAAAAGTTTCAGCCTTGTAGGTATAAGGCATTTAAGTATTATTTATTTACATGTTTAAAAAATTGTTACTAACGTTTGCCCCCACATTGGCGCGGTAGACTGCCGTTCCGTTTACTTACGATATCAAAACAACAAAATGAGAAAAAATCAGCTGTGTAGAAATAATTACATCAATAATGTCGCTGCCTCCCGGGCTATAATATTATGTGAAATATTATTTCATTTCAGGAGCACATCCAGCTCTCCAGTTAAAAGGCCAGTAGGGAAAATTAAAAAGAAGTAATTGTTTTTATATTATCTAATAGAGTACCTATTTAATAAACATTTTCTTGTACTAGACCAATGATGGTGTAATTTAATACTTTTTGTAGATTTAAAAAAAGTATTTAGAATATACAGTAGGGCTTTTTTTATAATAACAAAATATTGTATTGTAAATAAATGCATAACTTTAAACAAAATTATAAAGTTTGAAACTTTGTAACCATAAATACTTTTTTTAACTCAATCTCTTGAGTTTTTCCCCATTCAACATGGTGCTCAATACTCCCATAACCTCTTAAATATTGAACCAATATTACAAACATTTTCTTATTCTGTACTTAGATGTCGGGATAATTCATCTATCATCTTGCATCCCCTTTTCTCCTAACAAAAAGTAGAAGCTGATAATAATGTATCATATCAACTCTTTCTCGATTCATAGAATGCTTTTTCATAATGTCGCACAGAAACTTGAAAATTAAAATACAAAAATACACAGTATCACCACTAAACACTGAATTAAATAACTTTATAAGGTTATACACTTACACCATACAGAGGCTGTTCACAAACACCTCGTGAACCGAACTGAAAACTAAAATAAAAATGTAACAAAATGAAGCAGAAGAATTAACATGGCAGTTTGTTTTTTATCCGTTTACCATCCCGTCATATCAGGTATGAAGTCAACGCGGTAGCGGCCTTTCAGTGGGCGGCAATACGGCATTTTAACTCGACATCATTTGGGACAGGATCGTATTTTGCTTAAATTTTACTTGTACACGGTTTAAGTTTCTTACTGTTGCATTTTGAATTAATTTAATATGTCTAACACCAA